GGGTTGTACAAAAGTAAAAATAAATAAAGAAGAAATGCATTGTTCTTTCTGGTGGTCTATGTGACTATCCACCGTATGCTTTTACTATTTTTTTTATTTTGTTTTATTGCTTAAAGTGACTGATAGCTGGGCTGTCTACAAAAGCCTCACTTTGTGAATAGGACAATGGCAAGAGGACAACTGGGAAGTTCTGCACCTCCCTTTATGGGAGCTGAAATGTGGAACGAGATCTGGGAAAGGACAAGAGGCTTGGAAGTCTCAGTACCATGTACTGGCCCACAGTTACATCCCTTCCAGGAAATCAGGAGGCGGATCAGTTGACCCAGGTCTGATACACAGAGGAAAGCAGTGACCCTCAAGAAGTGGCCTGCTGGCCACATCTAAAGACTAGCCACAAGGGGGTACATACTCCGGGAAATTGCCAAACGGATGGGCATGAGCTCACCCATGCCCATATTAAGGAGGCATGCCAGGAGTGGTGTTCTTGTCCTCTCGAACATAAGAGACAATTGCCATGGCATCTTGGACAGATAGTAAGGGCAGGAGCACCAGCCATGCCACTGTCTCAGAACTGCAGATATACATTGATGTGCATTGATACTGCCATGGCCTGTTGCAAGCATATCCTACTAAGAAAGCAACCCAAAGGCTACCATACAGAGACTTAGGCAACTGTATGCTACCTATGGATGGCCCACAAACATCAACCAAGGCACTAATTTCACTGGCCACCAGGTGCAGGAATGGGCCAAGAGATCGATATAATGTGGCCCTTCCATCTGCCCTACACTCCTAAAGCCGCTGGATCGATGGAGGGGATAGACAGACTGTTGAAACAGGCTCTGTGAAGAGAAATCCATTCTTTAAAGGGTTGGATGCATAGGTTGTCAGAAGCTCTCATGGAACTCAATAGCTACACCAGACAAGCACGTCCTACTCTGTATCATCTCTTAACCAGTGGACCACTGACAGCGATGAGGATTCAGCTGGAGAGCTCGACTGCTGAATGGGCTCTGAGACTGGAGCCACATTATGCCATATTGTTGATGGATCCATATGACCCAGGGCCAGGGACCAGTCACCTACGAGTACCTTGGGTGTGGCAGATTCCCCCCAGATGGTTAGGGCTCATTGGAGCCTATGGGGAGGGAAAAAATCTTAACATGCAGGTAACTCCGGGCCAGGGACCAGTCACCTACGAGTACCTTGGGTGTGGCAGATTCCCCCCAGATGGTTAGGGCTCATTGGAGCCTATGGGGAGGGAAAAAATCTTAACATGCAGGTAACTCCTTGTTTGCTTCCAGTAACCCCTTGTCAGCTGGTGGTGTAGAACCCATCAGACCAAACACTAAGGGCATGATGATTTGGAGTATTATCATTCCACGCCTCCTTAAGTCAGTGCCTCCAACTGCCTCATCCCCTCCTGGGAACTCAGTGTGGTATTGTAAACCAGGGCAGAAACCACTACCAGGCAAATGACAAGGTACCCTGTATTTTGCCTGAAGCTTATGATTAATCTTTGCTTATGCCTGTAACTTCTTTGTCTTTCTGGTCATAGTGTGTGGCATGGTACATAGATCTTTTATCATTTTTCTTCCCAGCTGTAGCTGCTGTTAGTTTAGAATGGCAGATTACCCATTAGCTAATGATACTGCCCAAGCCCTTAATAGTTCCAAGTATGCTATAGATTTTTTAGAACAACACAAATGAGAAAAATAGTGTTGCATGACCACATGGCTTAGATATACTTACTGCTGCCCAGGGAGGAACATGCGCTCTTATACGTACTGATTGTTGTGTATATATTCCTGATAATCATCATGACATATCCCTTGCTCTGACCCAAATGACCAACCAAATCTCAACTATTCAGCAATTAGGAATTGATCCTCTGTCCACTTGATCCTCTGTTCAGTCTGTGTCCCTACCTTGGAAGGGGGCTCTGTTCAGCATTATTATTGTTTGTTTGTTAATGATACTGGGCATCTATGGATTATATTGTTGCTGTGCCTTCGACTCCAAGCCATTACGGTGCAAAGGTTCCGAGGGAATTTGTGGAAGTTTGATGTTTAAAATGGAAGGATCCATATTAATCTGGGGTGGAGTGGGGGGAACTCACTTTAGAGATGTAATATGGCTCCAGAAGTAAAGGTGTCTAGGAAATGTTGGACTCTCTGTTTAACTTTCTGTGACTGTTTAACTCACTGTAGCCTCAGGTTTGGCTGACTACCCAGAAAGCGGAATGCTGCCCAAATATAATCATCAGGCCCCAGCAAGGAGGCTAATGAATGTGTAGAGTGTGAATAACTGCGTGATGTTGCCTGTTAACTTAGAGATGCATTGTTTAAGTTATGCAATGTCTGGTCACTGGGTTGTACAAAAGTAAAAATAAATAAAGAAGAAATGCATTGTTCTTTCTGGTGGTCTATGTGACTATCCACCGTATGCTTTTACTATTTTTTTATTTTGTTTTATTGCTTAAAGTATTTCAAAGAGTATTACATATGTCTCCTTTCCCCTCCACTTGACCTTCCCCTGACTGCCCCTACCCCCCAGTGTCTTGTGTCCATTGGTTATGCTTATATGCATGCATACAAGTCCTTCGGTTAATCTCTTACCGCACCCCCCCAACCCTCCTCGGCCTCCCGCTGTAGTTTGTCAGTCTGTTCGATGCTGCTCTGACTCTGTATCTATTTTTGTTCATCAGTTTATAATGGTCTTTATTATCCATAAATGAGTGAGATCATGTGGTATTTTTCTTTCATTGACTGGCTTATTTCACTTAACATAATGCTCTCCAGTTCCATCCATGCTGTTGCAAATGGTAAGAATTCCTTCTTTTTTA